TTGTTGTTTCAGAGTTTGCTAAATGTACTCTCGACGTTTACATTTTATAATTGTCAAGTATCAGATATTTCAATGTTTGATTTTTCAAAAATGGAGATCTTCCGCTGTAAACAGACATTGAATACAATAAACTGTCATTCTAATTAAATGTTGTTAGTATTGTTCTAGATTCATTTCAGTTTAAGATTTTAGTAAAACTCTATAAAACACGTCAACACAATAGTGTTTTTGTTCAGAAAGTTCAGAAACTTTTAGAGGTTTTTTTTTATTAAAACAAAATGAAACTTCTATATTAAAATGCACATTAAAAAGTATGATTTTTATATTGTACCTGTCTGCACTTATATATGTATTTTTTTAATTATATCAAATGTAACAGACCCCACAGAATTTTGTCACAATTGCAAACTTTTTGTTGAAATATTGTTTAAGAAAACAAAAAAAATGAGCATGAATTTGACCCTATTTGAGATAATATGGCCAACAGTACAGCTATATATATATATATATATATATATATATATATATATATATATATATATATATAACATTTTTGGAATAGTTAGTTCTCAAGTACCCATATCTGGGATTGTTCACTGAAAAATTTATAAAAAAAAATAAAAAAGTTAACCGTGTTCCATATTCTATTAAGAAAGTTGAGCATTTAATGTGGTAATCATGGCTGAATGACTAATTCATCTCTACAAAGCTGTCCAACTGAAAACTAAGAGGAAAATAGATCCAGTTTCTGGACATTTCTCAGTGCTGTCAGAAACCTAGTGTTGTAGCCTATTAAAGACCTTCCACTGAAAATTAAAATACCATACAATGAGCAGTTGTTTGACGCCCTAATTTGACATGAATAAATTACGTATTTTTGCAGTCAAACAATGCTTTGCCATTATTGGTGCTTTAATAACTGTAAACACAGTCAATGTGACTTCAGCTTCTTTGAAGCTCCGCCCGCCGCATCGAGCGCGTGTTCTGATTGGCTAAAGCTCGGTTGTGTTTTTTCATCAGTTTAAACTGAGGTCAGTCAGTGTGGAAAAGCGGTCCCATGGTGGAATGAAAAATGTAGTGAATTAGTTTGTAACAGAAATAAAGCCCTTAAGAAAGCAAGCAAATCGCTAGTGTTAACGGATTTTGTTCATTATAAAAGAGCTCAGGCAATGGTGAGGAGAGAAATTAGAAGAGCAAAGAAAAATTATTGGAGAGAGTTTTGTAATAAAATTGGGGTAGAAATTGAAATTAATGAACTGTGGGGTATGATCAGGAAAATGGGAGGAATTCAGAGGAATACTAGCATTCCGGTGTTAGTTGACAACAGCAATATTGCAGTAACTGATAGTGATAGCTGAAATATTAGTGGAGACATTTGTTAAGGTTCATAGCAATGCGAATATATCAGAGGATATGAGGAAGTATGGAACAGTGTGTGATGGATAATGCTCAGATATTTGTAAAAAAAGAAGCCAGATGCAGGCATACTAGATTCAGATTTCACATTGTATGAGATTAAACAGACTTCTCCGGGTAAAGATGATATTTGTTATGAGATGATTAAACATTTATCGAATGTGTCATTAAATATGATATTAGGACTCTTTAATATGGTTTTGCCTGATGTTGCCTGATGCATGGAAGCACGGGGTTGTGGTGCCGATTTTCTGTGGCAAAAACGCAGGTAATATGTTTTTCGAATAAGAAAATGAATCCTTCTCTGGATATAAAAATGTATGGTCACCAGCTAGAACAAGTTAATGTAGTCAGATTTCTAGGAATGTGGATGGACTCAAAATTTAACTTCAGAATACATATTCACAAGCTGATAGAAAAATGTAAGAAAGGGATAAACATATTAAGATGCTTATCTGGAGTTGAATGGGGGGCTAGGCGTCAATCAATGGAAGGAATATATAAAGCAATAAAAAAGAGCCAACATTGATTATGGTTGTATGGTGTATATTTCTGCAAATAAAACGTGGATTAAAAAGATTAAGAAGATACAAACGCAGGCAATGCGAATTTGTTGTGGAGCATTCAGGTCATCTCCTGTGGTATCATTACAGGTTGAAATGGGAGAACTGCCCCTAGAGTTATGCAGACTTCAGCTGATGATGACATACTGGACTAGCATTAAGGGTCACTCGGAAAGTCACCCAGTCAAGAATACTTTAAGAGAATGTTGGGAGTATGAACGTAAAGAATTTGTATGTTTTGGCTGGATTGTTGGGAAGGAAGCACAGAGAATGGGTCTTGATGAGATTGATATTGCACCATCAGTGGCGAGTCGCCTCCTGCGATACCTCCCTGGTTGTTTCCAATGCCATTTGTTGATTTAAACATTCATAAAGAGATAAAAAGCATCGACATGAACATCCCAATAGTTTCAGTTGTGCAACAATATATAAATCAAACATATTATTCAGTATTGCAGATATACACAGATGGATCTAAAGACCCAGGGACTGGAAGAACAGCAGCTGCAATATATATACCTAAATTCAATATCAAAGTTGCTAGAAGAGTTTCTGATCATGTATCTGTATATACTTCTGAATTATTAGCTATATGTCTTGCACTGCAGTGGGTTGAAGCCTAATACAGTTGTGGTTTGTACAGATTCAATGGCGGCTCTGACAAGTTTACGGAGTGGAAAATGAGAAGCATGACAGGACATATTATATGAAATTCTACACGCTGTAAGTTTCCATACTATATACGGTGAATAAATGTAATTACATTTAATGTAATTTTACAGTAAAATACTGTTAAAAATACAGTTTTTGGAAGTGAAAAAGAAAAAGTCATTGTATAATTTACAGTGAAAAATCTTAAATTGACACTCCCAGAATTCCCTGCATGACACTTCATATATAATGTTTTTTGTTGTTCTTGAAATAACATGTTTCTTCTTCGTTTTTTCTTATCAGTTGTGTAGGGTTTAATCTTACATCTAATGTTGTTAAATTAATGTTTATTGCATTATTTCAGTATCGTGTGTCACCGTGATGGGGTTTAGTATTTTCAATTCAAATCTTAGATGTATCCTTCCTGAATGCTATTGCTCAGTTACTTCCTAATTAAATCTAAATTTAATTACATTTTAACTGTCTATCTAGAGAAGAATCATTAAGTTATTGGGTGCTTTTAGTGACACAGTGAGTAATGTGCCATGGAGGGCGGGGCACACACATGGCAAACTTGTCAGGGTCTGGGTAGAGGATGGAGCAAGGACTCAGTACTGCAGAGAATGGGCTTTATTGATAATAAAAATAAACAAAACAGCAACAAAAACCACCCCGTGGGGGAAAAACAGACTGGCAAGGCAAGGCAAGGCAAGATCCGGACACATCCAGGGAGAGATGAAGACGAACTGTAAACACAAGGAGAATAAATGGAGAGCAAATGAGGAGGGTAACGAGGGACCACATGTGGGGCAAATTAACTAATAATCAGGTAACAAGATGGGAGGGGTCAAGACAATTGACATGAGCACATGGCACACCGAATCAAAGACAAAAAGCCATGTGCTCACACAAAACAAAACACAAGCACATGGCCAGCAAAACAAATCACAAGCCATGTGCTAGAACAAGAGACACGAACACGCAGCTAATGAGAAAACTCATAAGCCGCGTGTTCACACAAGACAACAAGAAAAGCACGCGGCTTAGATTAACAAATCGTCACAGTCCCCTCACCCAATAAATTGGATGCCAGGATGTCTGGCACCAGGCCCCCTGGTTACCATGGCAACCCTGACACCAGATATGTTTACGACCTCATGGAATGTGAGCAGAGAGACCCTCACTGCATTTTCCAGAGCAAGAGGCAAAATGCACAGTAGAAATTGACTTTTCTACTAATTAATTCATAGGAAAACCTTTCTTTGAATGAACAGTGTATCCTTCAGGTCATTGTGTATATTATTGTCATCGTGTATTTGGTTTTTGCGATTGTATACTGTTTTAGGCAGGCTTATGATCGAAACACTCACTATAACTAGTTATGATTAATTATTCATATTTCCCATGAGCTGATTCATTACATCAGTGCATTACAATGGTTCAAAACAGATGTTAGCACTTCAATATGTTGGTTTATTAACATTACATCAGTTAATGAAATACTGTATTTTATTGTGAATTTAAGTTAAATCTGTAAAACCTAAAATTTTTATCACTATAAAACATACCATATTTTTTACGGCGAGGTTCTGGGAATTACAGCTACCGGTATTTTACCGTAAATGTCACAGATTTTTTTTTTTACAGTGCAGAGTATTTATAGGATAAGGCAATTAAGGTTATTGGTTTATTTTCTTTGGGTGCTGGCTCATGTTGGAGTAGAGGGGAACGAGAGAGTTGATCAGCTTGCAAAGAAGACCCTGGAACAACCACAAGTTGAATTCCAACAATAAGTCAAGCTGAAATAAAGAGATTGATATATATAGAAGTTGAAAAGAAATGGCAAAAAAGTTGGGAAAATGAAAGAAAAGGGAGGCATTTATTTAAGATCCAGGAGCGTGTTGCTAAAGAGAGAGCAAGTTATGGAAATAGAAGGAAGGCGGTTATCTTATCTAGATTGAGAATAGGACATGTAGCATTAAATAACAGTTTGCACATAATAGGGAAACATGAAACAGGCAATTGTGATAAATGTGGACTACCAGAAACGGTTGAGCATGTTGTTTTAATATGTATAGCGTATGAAAGGGAAAGACATCAGATGTTCCAAGAACTGGAACTGATGGGAATTAATAGTATATCTCTAAAGACACTATTAGGTTATGGGGTAATGCAATCAAGAATATATGGAGAATTGTTTAAGTATATAAAAAAAGACAAGATTAATGGAAAGAGTTTGAAGTTTTGACTTTTGTTTTCATTTATGTAAAAATTTTATTTTATTTTATTATTATTATTTAATCTGTAACAGTTGAATAATTCATAGCTGAACCGTGTACGTTCCACACTCCAGACCAGTAGGTGGCGGACATGCACTTTTAACGTTGGTTTGCCAATCCGCCAAAAAACTCGAGAGAAGAAGAAGAAGAAGAAGAAGAAGGCGGCAGTGTGGATTGGAAACGCCGAGACGAAACTAATTTACCGAATTCATGGAGATTAACGCGACGCTTGAGCTAACATTACTACATTATTCCTGAGAGTTTAAAGTCCCTATGTCCGTTGAAGACGTCTTTTAATCGGGGCTCCAGCAAAATGAGACTTCGCTCGAGAAATATTTTAAATGAAAACCCGACGACACCGTCCCGTCGCCGTCGAGCCGCTCCGGAGACACCGGGACCGCAGACCCCGCAGGTCCAGACCCAGGTCAGTCTTGCTGTCATGAACACTACATATGAAGAGCAAACACAACTTGTCTGTGTTTGGTGTGATTGAGCATGTGATTCCGTGTTGTGAATGATCTGCACAGGCCTCGTTAGCATGATGCTAACCGATTTAAAGCAAGAAATCCTGTGAGCGGAATTAAACAATTTTGCTATATAAATTTTAATAAAAATATCATTAATCATCATGAAATATATATTGTTGTTCATATGAATAATAATAATTTGTAATGAATGTATTTCTGGTAAGTGTCGTAATGCTGCCTCAGCTGTTTATGGGCGGGTCCAATTCTCGCCGTGTGGCCAATAAGATTTAGTGTTTTTGAATGGCATTTGTGAAGCCAATCAGCTTCTCTGTGTATTGTCGCTGAAGAAGCACATGGATCTTGTAGTTATTATTGTTTATTGTTTATTAAAGCACAAAGGAAATTAATTAAGATATTCTTTGTAAGATATCCGAAAGTAGGCGTTTATTTGAACGTTTTTTTTTATTGCACTTATTTATATAAAAATACTGTTTAATTTCTTTGGTTTAGTAACTGCCTGAAACCAGTCTGTGACTTGTGTAAGAATCATTTGAGTGTACAAAATATTTTAATAGAATGTCCAATTTTAAATGATATTAGACAACGATATTATTTAGAAAATATACTAAAAGTATTTTTTTTTTAAGTCTCTCCTGGAAGAATTTTAGAATTATTATCACTGATTAAACTGAAAGATTGTATATGATTTTTATCAGTACTATTGTTGTTTCTTGTATAATGATTGTTTCTTAAGAAAATGTTATATGATTGTAATTGATGTATTGAAATTATATTACATGTTAATGTTTTGCGATGAATATAGCCATTGTTGCTGAAATGGCGTTAAAACATGAATAAATAAATTATTAACTGCCTGGCTTCTTTGCCCTTGCTTTAGGATGAAGTAAAAGTTCTTCAAGACTGCTTGAATCTGGATGCTGATGAAGTCCCAACAGTAGCCAAACGTCCACGAAGGAGGAGGAAACTGTTATCAACTGTTGACAATAAAGGTACATTATTTAATTTGACAAACATTATGTAAGAGTCTATTAAAGGGTTAGTTCACCCAAAAATGAAAATTAGGCTGCATTTAACTCACCTCCGAGGCATCCTAGGTGTATATGACTTTCTTCTTTCAGACGAATCCAGTCAGAGTTATATAAAAAATTGTCTTTGATCTTTCAAGCTCTATCGTTGAACTCAGCGGGTGTTGCATTGCTTCAGTCCAAAAGAAGTTAAATAAAAAGCGCCCATCCATTTAAAAAAAAAAGTGTCTCACACGGCTCCGGGGGGTGAACAAAGGCCTTCTGTAGCGAATCGATGCATTTTTGTAAGAAAAATATCCATATTCAAAACGTAATAATCAGTTGAATCTAGCTTGCGCTTATTGTTGTACACTGGAAGCAGCTCCAGGCGGATGATGTATGAGGTCAGCGTTGCGCATGCGCCGGTGAGTCTCGTGAAAACCAACGTTTGTTAACAGGATCAAAGGAAGCAAAGGTTCCTTACTTTAGCAAATGAAAACCAGTCTCCTCTTGGCTTCTATCGAAATCCTCTGACATTCTTCTTTACAAATCCTCGTTTTGTACTTCTAATTCTTGACCGTTGTTTTGTTTTGGTCTCTCTCCTGCGCTTCCGCGTTAGTCACTTCTGAGCGGCGCATGCGCAACGCTGACCTCATACATCATCCACCTGGAGCTGCTTCCAGTGTACAACAATGAGCGCAAGCTAGATTCAACTGATTATTACGTTTTGAATATGGATATTTTTCTTACAAAAACGCATAGATTCGCTACAGAAGGCCTTTGTTCACCCCCCGGAGCCGTGTGAGACACTTTTTATTTTTTTATGGATGGGTGCTTTTTTATTGAACTACTTTTGGACTGAAGCAATGCAACACCCGCTGACTGCAATGATAGAGCTTGAAAGATCAAAGACCATTTTTAATATAACGCCGACTGGATTCGTCCGAAAAAGAAGAAAGTCATATACACCTAGGATGTATCGGAGGTGAGTAAAACGCAGCCTAATTTTCATTAATGGGTGAACCAACCATTTAATGATGATATGGTATTTAAAAGGTATCATACTCACCATTGTGTTTTTAGAGTCAGATTTCAAGACCCCAGTCCGTCACCTTCGGGAAAGACATTCCTCATTGAATCCTGCTGCTCGAAGCCTCTACTCTCCTACAGTGCACTTTCTCACACCCCCAAGCGACAGTCAGTGCATTTATTCATTTATTTACTTGTATGTGTGTGTGTGTGTGTATATATATAATTCCAAAAAAGTTGGGACACTGTACAAATTGTGAGTAAAAAAGTAATGGAATAATTTACAAATCCCATAAACTTATTGTACAGTGTCCCAACTTTTTTGGAATCGGGTTTGTATGTATGTATGTTTTTTGTTTGATAATTTATTCCATTTGAGATAGTTTAGCTTAAAGTTTTTGCCAACATATTAGCAATTATTAGTAGGGGTTCGCCAATATGCCCATCCCTAAACTAACATTAGCTCAATTTGGCACAGACCTTCAGAATGTTGTGAATCTGTGTGCCATATCTTTTCTGATCTGACTTAATTCCCGATATTCCTTAATCCGTAATTCCCGAAAGATCATCGGGACAGATGATGGAATGTATCATTTGCACGTGCTTTTGAGTCTTAACATTTTAAACATTCAAGTGCTCAATTCAGTACTTGCACACTCTCTGTGAAACCCCTTTCTGTGAGCTCACACCCAAAGCGCGCGCACATAGAGCCGCATCTGAGAGCGCATGACTACATAATGAAGTTGTGTTGCGCCTTATCGCGTATTAACGGCTTTAATTTTTTATTTTATTAATTAAAACTTTTTAATAAAAAATTGTCAATGCCCGTCTTGATGAGTATTCACGTAAACAGTCGATTTATACTAATCACTGCCGGTATATAGGCTATTAAGTGAATGTAAACAGTTGAGAAACAAAACTTACGTGTAACAGTTAGATCCACGCATGAGGTCTTAAAGAGACCGCAACCTAAATAAACCTGCTGCTGTCTGTCATTAATGGTTATTTATACATTGAAGACTAACAGGTGTTATTTTAAAGTTAAAACAGAATATTCAGTTTCTGTGGTATTTTTGTACCTGAATATTACTGTTATACCTACCTGAAAAACTTAAAGCACAGTTCATTTTAGTTGTCTAGTTATTGTATTTGTTTGTGCAATTGCTTGTCATTTATCTATTCTTATTTTATTACTGACTGCTTACTTTCTTACTTTTTTTTTTTTAGTTAAAATAAATTAATTTCAGAGTTTGAAATCAAAGTTCTTTTTAAGAATTTTCCTCGCAATATAAATATGAATCAACAACATTATAAATTGAAAAACACATACACCGGGTGATGAAACGTTTAGGTTGGATGATTGTAGTTTAAAAATGTCAAAAACAAAAAATGTCAAATGAAAAAAATCCCCCAATAAGAGCCACCTAAAGGGGGAATTCCCCCATTTTTCAAAATGTGTGTGTGTATATATATATATATATATATATATATATGTATGTCTTATCACTAGCAAAGCCTATCAAGTAACCAAGGATAAACTGCTAGATGTTAAAACATGCTAACAATATGCTAATAGGGTTTATGCTGTTACTGATTTTAGATTTCATGTGCTTATGTAACAGCTGTTGTTTATTTCGTAGGTGAGCAGCCAAACTCAAGTCCCATGTTCAGTCCCGAACACTGTGTGTTCAGTTACAGTGCTGCCAGCCCTCTTTCAGAGGATGAAGAGAATGAAGAAGTGTTTAGCCCGTGAGTCGCTTCTACAAATGATTTCATTTTGTGCTCTTCAGCCTGATTGAGGAGGTTTAATTTGAAATCTTTCTGATTTGTCCCTTAGTTTCAGGTTTATTAAGAACATTCCAAATCGTTCACAACAGTCCAGGCCTGTCTCAGCAGTGCGGGACATTCCACCAAAGACGAGGAGCACACCTGCTGCTACCCTGGTGCTTGATTTGGTAAGTTACCTTCCAAAAAGCCAGCTCAAAAGAAATACCTTGGTCAGAATGTGACTAAACTGATTGAATTTGCATGCATTATGGTGATTGGAAATGAATGGCAGGGTCATTAAATCAGAAGGGCCTTTAATGCTGCCCCATTGAGAGATGCTTTAACAGTCATGTAAGTGACGTTGACTAGAGGACCACTGTTCTCACTGATTAGATTGAGGTTAAGAGGTGACTGGTTTGTGATTCTTTGGATTTAATTTCTGTACTATTCTAGGATGAAACCCTCGTCTTCAGTTCACTCAATGTGATCCATGATGCAGAATACACCTTCAATACCCACTTTCAAGATCACAAGTACAAGGTTGGTAAAACTAGTAGTTAATGTTCAAAATTAAACATGCTGGGAAAAAAATTGTTCCAAGATGAGTTTGTTTCTTCATGGGAACAGATTTGGGGAAATGTAGCATTACATCACTTGATCACCAATGGATTCTCTTACAGTGAATGGGTGCCGTCAGAATGAGAGTCCAAACAGCTGATAAAAACATCACAATAATCCACACGACTTCAGTCCATCAATGAACATCTTGTGTCACGAAAAGCTGCATGTTTATAAGAAACAAATCCATCATTAACGTGTTTTAACAGTAAATCGTCACTTCTTGCTTGTCCATAATCCATAATATTGCTTTCACCAGTGGAAAAAGTCCATCCCCTGTTGTTCTTTCACATCAAAGTCCACCCACGTTTGTTTAGAACTGGACTGTTTTCACTTGTATATGGTGCATATTTCTCTCCTGATTCAGGTGAGACTTTTTCACTGGAGGAAGCAATATTATGGATAGAGAACTGATATTTTAGCTGGAAGCAACGGTTTGAAGTTAAAAACATTCTAATGATGGATTTGTTTCCTACAAACACGCCGATTTTCACTTCAGAAGACGTTCACTGATGGACTGGAGTGGTGTGGATTACTTGTGAATTATTATGATGTTTTTATCAGCTGTTTGGACTTTCATTCTGACGGCACCCATTCACTGCAGTGGATCCATTGGTGAGCAAGTGATGAAATGCTACATTTCTCCAAATCTGTTCCCATAAAGAAACAAACTCATCTACATCATCTACATCTTGGATGTTCTGAGGGTGAATAAACTTTAAGCAAATGTTCATTTTTGTATGAAATATTCCTTTAAGCTTCGCATACATGTATTTGTTGGAATAGTGGTTAACGTCCTGCAGCTGTCATGGAAAAGGTTTGCAGTTGTGTTGCTTTTGTGATTCATCAAACATCTTTTCACAGGTCTATGTGATCCTCAGACCATATGTCAAAGAGTTTCTACAAGCCATGACCAAACATTTTGAGGTAAACATTGTGAACATTACACTAAAACATTAAATGCCTGTTTGCACCAAGATGAATATTTGATACGCTACGCATTTAAATTGGATTGAACAGCTGTTAAAGTGCACTGAGCGAATTTTGCCAAACAATGTTGATATTTGAAAGCACCAAAACAAACACGCCCATACCCCAACAGGACCTCGCCCCTATTTTGATAACTCCGCCCCAAACGTACGTACACAACCCTAGCAGTGACGATGGCTGAATCTGCTATGCCTGCCGGCCACAGCATATTCAATCAAAAGCCAACACAGATTAGTTGTGTGAAACAAAGCAAAATCAACATAACTCACCTATCAAGAAGAAACAAAGCAACCTCGGCGTCCAATTCCAGGCGTTCCCACTCCTTGAGTTCTCTCCACTGCTGGAAAGCTGCTCCAATATTTATGCGGGTCCTACCTCTTGCCTGATTGTAACGCTTCTTTTTTTTAAATGTTTTTAAAAACAAATTTTCCCTCCTTTTTAAATTTTTTATTTTTTTTTAATCTGCCATCTATAGCCGATCAGCTAATATCCGTCCTGTGCACTCACATCTCCCTATCATTACTAGACTCGCCCCTTACTGCTGTTTGGCAGCGAGTGTGTTTTGGGACTCGGTCCGACACTGTGGTCAAAAGCATTTTTCAAATATTGCTTCATGCACCTTTAATGTGTCTGACATGGACGTTTGCATGCCATCAGTGCAACAGATTCAAATGCATCAATGCTACCAATAAGATTTGGGCTTTTGGTCACATGCCTAGAGCTGCTTTTGTTATATAAAGCATAAAATAGTGTTATTTGAACACCACGTCAAATACAGAACTCTGAATGGCTATTTGAAAACATGTAAATGACTAAATTTCTTAGGGGTTTCCGCTTTTACATAAGTGCCACCTATTGTCAGCAAAATGATTTTTGCATTTTCATTCACGCTGGGAAAATGGTATGCGAAAACCAGAACGAATTTTTGTGCTGAACATTTGTGTTGGTGTGAACAGGCCTTAATTTTTGCCAGTGAATAAATCTGTTCTGATTTTTTTTTTTTTTTATTACAGATGTTTGTTTACACCTCTGCAAAAAAGGAATATGCAGAAAAGATTGTAGATATATTGGACCCTAATAAAAAGCTCTTTAGGTGAGACATATGTTGAATGTCATGTACCCTAAATCTCAGCTGGGCATCTGCAAATCTCATAACATTTTTATTAACCTGAGAGCCAAACGATGGTCTAACTCAGCGGTGGCGAACTCCAGTCCTGGAGAGCCGCAGCCCTGCAGAGTACAGCTCCAACCCTAATTAAAACTCACCTGCCTGTAGCTTTCTAGTAACCCTTCAGACCTTGATTAGCTTGTTCAGGTGTGATTGATTAGGGTTGAAGCAAAACTCTGCAGGGCTGCGGCTCTCCAGGACCGACGTTCGCCACCCCTGGTCTAACTCAATGGTTCCCAACCCTGGTCCTGGAGGCACCCCAACACTGCACATTTTGCATGTCTTTTTTCTCTGACGCACCAGTTTCAGATCTTGGGAGTTTCTACTAATGAGCTGATGACCTGAATCAGGTGTGATTGATTAAGGAGACATACAAAACGTGCAGTGTTGGGGTGCCTCCAGGACCAGGGTTGGGAACCACTGGTCTAACTGACTACTGATAATTACATCATCTGATCAAAAATGTCACACGTCTTTCAGGGTTCTTCTAGTTAACTAAAATTAAAACCATAAAAAAAAAATTGTTACTTGAAATAAAATATTTTATTTCAGCTAGTTGCCAAGGCACCATTTCTCATTTTAATTTAGTGTAACTAAAATGTGCTCAAATAAAACTGTTTAAGCTCCCAATAATAAGGAAGTATTGGGAGCTATCTATTTTTACTTTGTTTACAGGTCACAAACTTGGCTTTGAAGGAAGTATGAAAATGTAATTCAGTGGCGTTCTTGTTTTAAAGGCACCGTTTGTATCAGGACGATTGCGCCTGTGTGCTTGGCCACTACATTAAAGACTTGACTGTTCTGGAGAGAGACCTGTCAAAGACGGTCATCCTGGACAACGCCCCCCACACCTTCCCATATCACGTATGCTTGTCCTTACCTTTTCTATGTAAAAGGGTTTGTCAAACATCAAGTCTAACCAGTATATCAGTGACATGTTCTTATTGGATCTGTGTTTGTTCTTTCTAGCTGATGAATATGATTCCCATAAAGAGCTGGGTCGGAGATCAAGAGGACTGTGAGCTGCAAAAGCTCATTCCATACATGGAGAAACTAGTGCATGCAGTGAGTGTTTTTAGCCATTAACATCAGTCTATATATATATATATATATATATATATGTTCACTTAAAAAAAACAGGTGCATTAGCTCAGATCAAAGAGACTTGCAACCAATCAGTTCCAAAAACAACATACAAAACCTGTGCTAGTTGAAATATAGCAATATAATGTGAGATTTATAAGCAATTTTTGTAGGCAGGTTGGAAACACCAAATTAGGTAAATGATTTTCAGCAAAGCACAAGGGTTAAATCTGTTCAAAATTAGTTCAATCTGTGTAATAATTCATTTGAGTTAAATCACGTCCCAGGTTAAACTTAAATTTAAAATAGGGAACAAATCAGTATAACATGGTCACAATTTAACTGAAATGAAGGAAAGAATTTAATAGGTTTTGGGAATCAATTTTTAATTTCTGAACACAATATCTAGTGACTTATCCCTAAAGGGTATATATTAGGCTATTTTCTAAGTGTACATACCTTTTGCAAGAGTTCCTAATGATAGCTTTTGCACCTTTTTTCATTAGTGTTTGGCACTTTTTTTTCTGTTCTCAAACCCCAAAGCTCAGCACTGACCCGTAGTTTTTAAAAAGAATCTCAATTTATAAAGTTTTTGACACGATTCATGTTTCAGTTGGCTGACTAAAGGTTAAAATGACTGGGAGCTTTGGATCCAGGTATGCAAACACCTGAGGATCATTTGAATCATACACAGAAACTGAGACATGAGAAATTATGATAAGCAGACTCCATGATTATGGTACAGCCAGTGTTGGGGGTAACTCATTACAAGTAACGCGAGTTACGTAATCAGATTACTTTTTTCAAGTAACTAGTAAAGTAACGCATTACTTTTTAATTTACAAGAGAATATCTGAGTTACTTTTTCAAATAAGTAACGCAAGTTACTTTTTTTTCCAATTTATTGACTGACAGCTTCCTGTCCCCATGATGAGAGAAATCAGATGTTACTGTAGTTCTGAAATAAATATGAATATGCATTAATTCATCTCACTCACAAAAAAACCCCACACAAATTCAGAATTCCTCAAAATGATGCAAACCTGCAATAATTAAATGTTAAACAACACAAATATGCTTTATGTATTTAATCCCATTCTATGAACCAATGTCTTTGCTTCTGACCTTCGATGATCCAGTTCAGCTGTACTAATAAGCACAAATTACACTCCAGTCAAACATTTGTGTGTCTTTGTTTATTGCTGAAATGGGTTGAAATGTCTTCTTCTGCGTTCTACTGTACGGACGTAAATCTACTTTCCCTTCAGCCTGAGGCTTATTCATTTCACTTTTGCTGTGAAAAGGCTTTTATATTTGCCAAAAATATAACTTTTTTTTTATTTTAAAAACAAACAAGCAAGCCCTGTACAGATTTTAAAAGTAACGCAAAAGTAACGTAACGGATTACTTTCCATAAAAAGTAACGATTTACCGTAATTAGTTACTTTTTAATGGAGTAACGCAATGTTGTAATGCATTACTTTTAAAAGTAACTTTCCCCAACACTGGGTACAGCAGTACATAGTTACTTTCATGCTGATGAACCTGTAATTGACTAACTACAGACTGATGGTAAAATTGTTCTTTTAAAAAGACAATTTTAATATGGACCAGCTTTCAGCGCTTCAAAATAAAAAATCTTTGTCAATGAATAGTGAGCAATTTCTGTTACAATTTTAGTGTAATAATTATAGAATTTAGTTACAAAAATAATTAGATATAAAAAAAAATTTGAATGTAGAAAATAAGTATAACTAAAATGATTTAATACTAATCGATGTTGAGCGCGGCGAATAAATGTAATGTATTTTATTTTGTAAAAAATTGCGTATGAAGTGTGTGAATAATTAAATTGGCCGTGCTCTTTTTTTTTTGATTTTGTTTAAAATGTTTTTGAGCGCGGTGTTATCAAAGGACTTTTATATACAGCGAAAGTAGGTGTCAGGCAAAGATGGCGGCGTTGTTGGGTGAGTAAACGAGCTTGATCCTAGACGATTTAAAATCTCTGCATGGCGCAGTATTGCTATCACTGCATCATATATATGTGGAATACATTAGATATAACTAAACTACATTGCATCTTCAGTTGTTGAATGAGTTCTTTCGTGTTATGATGGGCTTTACTCGGTGACCTTGTTACACAACATGACTGATCTGAGACTCACTATGAGATATGTTGTATTACTTACGGCTTTGAAAGTCAAAATGCCATTCAGGCAGGCGATATGCAGTGTCTTTGTAAATCGCTGCCACAAAATTGATATTTAGTATCTTAATGAAGCAGAAGAATCAAGAATGAAATGAGCGAAATATTTATTGCAGTTTAAAAAAATGTCTAACCACATAGTGAGCAGAGATTTAGGCACAGTATTCTTATTTTTAAGATTGTAAGTATTGTTATTATGGTTTACCCTTTTATTATTGGTTATTCTCAACCAAGGCTGAACAAGATTTGTTATTTTCTGGAATGCGATTATGTACCTTGTTTGTAAAGTTGAAGCTATATATATATATATATATAATATTATTATTATTATTATGGTTTTCATGTATTTTTTACTTCTCATATGTGCAAGTTTGTTTTTGTATAAAAACATAACTTTAAATAATGTGTTATTTCAGTTCCTCGCCTTTCTGCCCTTGGTTCCTTGAATCTAAGGTAAGTTTTGAATTAGTTTTAAGGATCTTTTTTCCTTATTTTATGTAAAATGTTGTAACACCTTTTTACACTTGATATTGTGCTTGTAATGTAGGGCCATTTCATCATTTTCTGCTCATAAAAAGGTTCCTCTGACAGACAAAAAGGATGAAAACTCCACAAGGTGCGAAGTGGATGGTTTTGTTATGGTTGTATGCCACCCATCCTGGGCAGTTACAGAATAACTATTACACTATTAACTGGGTAGTTATTACTAACTGTGCATATCCTTCTTTCCAGTCCGGTCCCGTTCAGAGAGAAAAGCACAGCTCTGGCACCAAGACCAGCTTCAGCGGTCAGCAGCAAGGGTGAATACATCATCACCAAGCTGGACGATCTGGTCAACTGGGCACGCAGAGTACGTAACTCTTTACATCAGGGGTCTCCAAACTCTGTCCTGGAGGGCCACCGTCCTGCAGAGATTAGCTCCAACGTGCCTCAACACACCTCTCTGGAAGTTTCTAGTATGCTGAATAAGACCTTGATTAGCTGGTTCAGATGTGTTTAATTGTGGTTGGAGCTGAACTCTGCAGGACTGGACACCCCTGCTTTACACATTTACAAAAAATGTGTTTTAAAAACACTAAATGCATGCACTACCGTTCAAAAATTAGGTGTCAGTAGATTTCTTTTTTTTTTTTTTCTCAAATGTTTTTGAAAGAAGTCTCTTCTGCTCACTAAGGCTACATTTATTTGATCAATAACAATTTATTCCTGTGATGCAAAGTTGAATTTCCAGCATCATTACTCCAGTCTTCAGTGTCACATGATCCTTCAGAAATCATTCTAATATATTGATTATTATTATCAATGCTGAAAACAGTTGGGATGCTTAATATTTAGTGGAAGCCATAATAGAGAGCTTGATGAAAGCAAAAAAAGCATCTTTTGTACCATTATTAAAATCTTTACTGTCACTTTTGATCAATTTAATTCATCCTTGCTGAATAAAAGTATTATTATTTATTTTATTTTTTTTTACTTAACTGACCATAAAAATTTGGACTGTAGCTTATCATATTTTTTTGTAAAAATGAGGGAAAAAGTCAAATGTTTGTATTTCAGAGCTCCTTATGGCCCATGACCTTTGGCCTGGCATGTTGTGCAGTGGAGATGATGCACATGGCCGCCCCTCGTTATGACATGGATCGGTTTGGTGTTGTGTTCAGAGCCAGTCCCAGACAGGCTGATGTCATGATAGTCGCAGGGACGCTAACCAACAAGATGGCTCCTGCATTGCGGAAGGTAATTGCACCATATCAATAGTAATAAACTTGCCTGTCAATTAGGGGTGTGCGATATATATAGTTTATGATAATATCGTAATTCTTGTTTAAACGATATGCGATTTGACATTATCGAATATATAGCAAAAGCCAAACAAAAGCACACCCATAAAGTGTGCACATACACTATGAGATGTAGGTTAGACTACTGCGCGTGCACAATTAGAGTTCACACTTCCACTACATGATATAGTCTATTAAAATACATTTAGATTCCCCCCAAAATTCAACATAAGGGGGCAAATATGCCCGCGTATGACTTTTAAATGTCTTATATATTTATATCTGATATAGTTAATATCACACAAAGAGATATTTTTTCTCCAAATATCAGACGATTGCAAATGTGATACTGATTTTATAAAACAGTCCAATAAACAAGAAGTTCATATTAATTGACTTACATTTTAGACACAAGTTCCTCTTTTTGCTCTATTTCATCAACCAAAATAGCTCCAAAGGAAGCCACAGTAGAACTATTTTGCATCTCTGAGCAACACACGACGGTGTTTCGTTGCTGAATCAATCAGCTGTTTGAACAAATTGGTTGAATGAATGACTCACTCGTTACTACGTGGACATCAGTAATCTAATTATTGACCTTATTCTAAATAAGCCAATATTATGATTGTGGTGTTTACATGAGTTGCTTTTAGAATATTCCTTTCATGTTCCCGTTTTACATGTTATAGTACATAGTTCGATTAATGGCGCACATCATTACGTCTCAACGTGACGCCATCTGACGTCCCCTCCGGAATTTCACGTATAAACATATAGTTCGTCTTCGTGATGATGCCATGTACAGTTTTGGGTGTTTAATTTTTTATTTTATGAAAGCTTCAAGTGCAGTTAATTATTTGTACGTGCATACAGATGATGGAGGTGTTGAAGCTCTTTTATTTGCCGTCAAACTGTTGAGCACTGCCGTGTGTGTATCCTGTCGCAAAATGTGGTGAAAAGTCCTTCACGACGGTAATAATTTGATTAAGATGTTTACATGTCTATACTGCACTTCA